GCACCCAACGGCCGTTAAACGGCTCCTTCCTCGTGAGCGTTCGGGGCACCCGCGGGGCCCCCTGCGGTGTAGCCCAGTGTGCCCGAGAGAGAGCAGTGTAAACAAACACAGGGCGATCCTGCCGGAGAGGTGGCCTGGATTTGCTTAAATGTGCAAAGAAATGGGAAATGTGCCCCCCGATTTTTGATCCTTTCCCCAGTGGGGGTTGTAACGTTGCGTGCTACAAGTGCTCAGCTGGCTCCGCGCTTTTTTGTCCTCCACAGACCCCGGGGGAAGCGGCCTCTGCCTGCACAGCAGTACCGCAGCTTTCCAGGAGGTGTTGCCTTAAAACCGTGCAAATGTGCGACTCAGAGCCATGCCAGGGGATGGATGTGGCCTGTCAAAAGAAGGGACGGGGACAGCTTGTCACTATTCCCCACTCGACATCTGTTTGCAATTCCCAGATGCCAACACAGGAGAGCCCCCGTGTCTGTAGCGGTGTCACGTTCTCCTTGGGCACAAGGGCCTTGGCAGCCCCGCATCGCTCCTGCTTGGGCTGGTTCATCTAGCCACAGCCTTTGGTGAATGTCCCTCACTGCGGTTTCGAGTCTTGGAGTGTGGATTTGATACTCTCCTTTCGAGCAGCATTTCGTTTGTGCAGGATTGGAAGGGGCACCCGATGTATTTTCTGAGCATTATCCTCTAGTACCTAACCCAAAGACTAGTAATCAAAGGCATGATGAGAGTTAACAGCACTCAGAGGAACATGCACAAACTATCTCACTCCATCTTGCAGACAAGCCATTGGTTCCTCACACTTTTACCCAGGCTTCTTCCATAATCATAATTCTTCCATAACCATAGTTTACTTCTGTAATGGCATGCAGTGCCCCAGGGACACACAAGCAGGACTGTCCTCTAGCACAAGCAGAGGCGGTTTTAGACGGGCAGTTTGCGCTGCATTTCGCCTCCCGCAGCAAGGAGCCCTTTCTGCTGGCGGGCTGGAGCTGGGCAGGCTGCCATCGCGTCCGCTGGTTTTACACGCAGCAGGTTTCTCTGCCGACAGCCAGCGACGAGGGCAGAGCCCTGTTCCCGGTCGCAGAAGAGCCCTGGAGGCAGAAGCGCTCGATACCTGCCCGAGCCGTTGCTGTCCCGTGTGCGTAACCCTTAGTTGTGAGCTTAGCTTAAACGCACTTCCCCCTCTCATTACCAGGCTCTACTCATCTTTGAGAAGAAAAACAGACAAAGTGTGCACAAGATGCCTTATTCACTGAAACCTTTTCATCAGTCTGTAAAATCAGCTTTTTTTACTATTATTTTTTTCATAAGAAATAATTCTTTTGCGTGGATTTATGCTCAATACGATCTCCTGGTTCATCCTATCTCCAGAGAGAGATTAATAAAAAACAACTAAAGTAGAGCTGTAAAGTATAATCAGAAAGTACAAGTCCCTAAAGTGATCTTTGGTTTACTTCTGGTTAATGAAAAGGCAGCAGATCAGTTAGCGCCCACAGCTCCACGGGATCATTTTGTGCCCTCCCCGAGCACACCGCTTAACATGCAGATGGCAAAGTATTATCCCTCCTATAAAAAAACAAAGCCAGATTTTTAAATTTACGTGGTTTAACAAATTACAGAAGAGTTCTGGTGCTCCGCCACGATGGCAGTGAGGCAAGGAAGGCAGCAGCTGCTGTGCGTGAAGACTGTAGCTCTATATATGTGTGTATATTAGCCATATATTAGAGCTTCCCATACCCCTAACTCTCCATGGAGCCCACTTTGTGGCCCGCGCTGCCTGTGACATGTCTCTGCAGGGGGACGTTTCTGCGGCCTCTCTACGTCCTTCGTGCTGTTTGCAGGTGGCTGCTGAGCGCCCGCGCCGGGGATGGTCCTGCCGCAGGAGCAGCAGCCCCGATAGCTGCACACAAAATGTAGCTGGTTCTTCAACCCCTGTGAATCGTTACTCGGGAGAACCTCTTCTTTCCCCCTGCCACTGCATTTCAGTCCAACGGATGTGTTATCTTCTCGGCGTTACGTGAGAACGTGCACTCGTGTGCCTCTCGCTGCGAGCTGGGGGCTTCCTCTGGGCTGTGGTGGAGGGGGAGGAATGTCCCTGGGGTGTGCGCGGTGCTGCCCTGGGGTGACGTGGCCTGGGTCCCGGGTCCCTGTGCCTGGACCGTGTCACACACCGTGCCCTGCGCCACGGGGCTCCTGAGGGTTTCTGGAGGTACAGACAGCGAAAGGAGGAGCAGGGAGCGCCTGGACCTGCTGCTGAGCAGCTGGACCCCGGGGCCACCACGGCCAGGACGAGACGGGCCCTGTGCGCCGTCTTCGCCGCGGTGTGTGCAGCGCCGTGCGGGAGGCAGCAGGACGGTGCTCGGGCGCGCGGCGGGCCGGGCAGAACGCTCCCCGCTCGCCATGGCGCAGTACGTGCGCGGCCCCTCCGCCGTGGCCATCATCCGCCTGCGCAACCCGCCCGTCAACGCGCTGAGGTAACGATGGCCGCCCGCGCGGCCCTGCCTTTAGCCCCTGCTTTCCCCCTCCTCGGCGCCAGGCCCTCTCTGCGAACGCCGCGGCCTCCTCTGAAACCTGCTTTTAGCTTCAACTCCTGCTCGCAAGGAACGTGCGCGTTCTTCCGAGGCTTCTCTTTTCTATCCCTTCGTGCAGGAGAGGTGTCGGGCTTCCCACTCGCTACTTTCTCAGACATTCCCCCTGGAATCCTTTTTAAAACTTAGCACACTTCTCATCTCCTACATCTTTAAGCACATAGGGGATGCTTCCAGCAAGGAGTTACACTCCGTCCTCAGCACTTCAGCTGTTTCCTTCTGGAGGGGCTTCAGGGATCCTGGGTGGAAAGTGCTTTAGCACTTGCAGTTGTTCATTTCCCCCCTGCGCATGCTTGGCAGGGCCTGGAGGTCGGTGTCTGTGCCAAGTGTGTGCAAAGGTTAAGGCAAAGGGCTTGGTAAACACGAGACGTGGCTGAGCAAGAGGAGCTGGCGCAGCGCAGGAGCCCCCAGCCAATGGGGCAGGGGTTCAGGGGGTCCAGAAGGTACCAGGTGAGAGGTGAGGCCCATCAGCCCACCGACCTCTCCGTGCTGCGCCTGCTCAGGAAGGGCCTTGAGCAAGCTCAAACACAAGCCTCATAGTGGCCTATGAAATAGCTCATAGTGGCCTATGAAATTGTAGTCTCTTGTGTGCTTGAAGAAGACATGTATGTTCTTCTGTAAATCATTTGGTCTAAGGCTGGTGTATTTTTCAGTTAGCTGAGCACAGAGACCTTCGTAAGCAGCTGCAGCTGAGCCGTGCTGGAAGAGTGACCGTAGCTTTGATGCTCTTGCAGGAGGCAAAAAAAAATCCACTGAGGTTAGGCTCAACTTCGAGACCAGCAAGGTGGTTAAAAAGAAGCTGAGGGAGACAAGTAAGAGCACAAAGAGGAGACAGCAGCTGCTGCCACAAGTTGTAGCACGCTGCAGTTTTGCAGGAGCTGACAGTGCTTGCTCTTCTTGTGCAATGCATTTGAAAGAGGAGTAGGATGATTTTCACGCCCCCTGATAACATCGTGAGCAAACAGAGCTGGAGTAGCCTAGTGAGATAAGGCAAGGCAGACTCGTGAGCCTCCCCAAAGTCCAGGTGCAAAATGTCCCTTGGACCCGCTTTTGCCTAAGAGCTGGAAAACTACTTTGGCCAGCCTGGGAAAGCATCCAAGCTGTTCACCCAGTGAACTTGCCATCCTTATCGTGCAAAGTACAAGATAGAGAGGTAAACATCGGTGCCCAGGCACCCCAGGTGCTCCACTCGAGCACCTTGGAGCACCAGTGTCTGTGTAGCAGTGTCTGTAATGCACCTCCTACCTCTGTTGTCATGTGCCAAGCTCTGCATCCTTCCTCCTTCCTCCCTCAAAGCTCTGTGGTGCTGGAAGCCAAGGTTGATGTGCTCACAGTCCTGCTTTTTCCCCCAACACAGGAAGGAGAAGCCACCTTGAGCCCACTAAAAAGGCAGTTGCCATCAATTGCTGCATTGTCACGGTCCCCACAGCTGTTTTGTGTTGCCCACACTCCTCCTCTGTCACCTGATAGAGTAGGAACATGTGGTCCAGACAAGAAGCTGCGGAGCGTGAATTTAGGTGTGAGCCCTGAGCCCGAGACCTGGCTCTGCGCTTTGGCTGCACCTCAGGGGATGGGACAGAGGGACCCGGCCTGTCCTGGTCATCTCTGCCAAGCAGCTCCATCCAACAGCTCCACAGCTGGGGACAGGCAGCGCTGGCTGGAGCGCGCTGGAGAGGTTTCTGTCTGGCAGTGAGTAGCTCCAGAAGGAAAGCCCAGTTTGCAAGGCCTCACCTGTGAGCCCTGCAGCAAATCACCCCTGTTTTTCTTCCATCCTCCCTGCTCCTCTCCAGCTCTGCCCATCCCAGGGATTCCCCTCCACAGCATGTGCCCAAACTTGTCATTATTTTTTTCCTGATTTCATATTCAGAGACCTGCCGTCCTAGAGCATCTGTGAGGCCGTGCAGCAGAGGGAAGAGATAAGACATGCCAGCAACCGGGAACCTTTGGGGCTGGCAGGAGGCTGTAAAAGGCAGGCAAGACTTCCAAGGGAGAGCACCAGCTGCACCTCAATCTTTGCAGAGCCAGGCTGCTGGCAGGGCAAATTAAGAAGGATGTAAAGCAGGGTTTAGGCAGGAGCAGAAAAGCTCCTAGTTTGGAGTGATGCAGCCCATGAGCTGGAGGTGTCAAAAACTGAATGTGTTCCCCTAAAAAAGAAATTCTTTCAGTATATCAAAACTAGAAAGCTGCCTAGGGAATTAGTGGGATCATTCGAAGGTAAATATGTAAAGACAGTGTCATTTTTCTGCTCACTAAAACACCTCAAGTCCTGGGTGCATTTCTGGACTTTGCATCTGAAGAAGGACGTAGAGTTAGAGACCATCTAGAAAGGATCACGACCAGAATAATTTGGGGGATAGAGCAACCAGGGACAGCTGATTAACCTAGTAGGAGACTGGTTTAAAGCAGTTTAACTGTATTTCTGTCCAGAGCAGCGCAGAGCTCGATGCCGCAGGAGTCTGCGGAGGCAGATGGGATCAGCAGGATCAGAAAGAGATTAGGCAAACTCATGGACAGCAGGTCCATAAACAGATGCTGAAAAGGCTGGGTATGAGGTAGCCGGTAACATTCCTAACACAGGGATTGGGGATCCTGGGCGAGTACAAGGAGGAAGGACCGGAGTTGCATGTTCTCCATGAAGGGCTTTTTCTGCCCAGAAACACAGAGTCTTTCTGACTTCTTTCAAGGCGGCCAAGCTTATTTTCAGGTGTCCTTAAACTGCTGTTTTAAAAAGCAAACGTCGTTCACATTCACAAATCCCCGCTTAAATCCGAAATTGTTGCAGTAAATAATAAAACAAAATCCAGCACACTGCCGCCGGAGCAAGCAGAGTTTTATGTGAAATGGAAATAACCTGGCATGGTCACGTGCAAGAATATTCCTGTATCCTGGGGTGACATGTGCTTTAACAGCACCTGCCCTGCATTTCTGGAAGACTTTGCATTGAATCACACTGGCAGAATCACTTTTCTGGCAGCCAGAATAATATACGTGTTGTAGAGCTGACTGTATAGCAAGGGATTAAGTGACTGAAATGCTTATAGTGAATTTTTGTGTTGTTACAGTTAAATGAATAATACCATGAAGGTAATGAAAGCCTTGTGCAAATGGCGGTGACTTTTCTGTTTCTTTTAGAGTCTAGCTATTTAAAGCTGTGATACTCCTGAGTATTTTTATAATTTTACTATCACACATTTTACTATGGTGCTTTCACTGAAGATTGCATCTTTTAGGACCAGTTATAGTGTGTGAGCTACAAAGCAACCCAGCCTCTGCATTGGACTGTAACGCGTAACCTGAGCAAAATGTATCCCTTTATCTCTCGAGAACAAGAACACGCAAAAAATCTGGGCTCGCTCCCTTTCTGTCCCACAAAAAAAGGTCCTGCAGGTATTAAGCTTCTTCCGAGGCAGCCCAAGTGACTGTCTTTTCTTCTGGCAGAAGGAATATATTGATGTCCACGCTATGGGCCACAAAGTAATTTCCTACATAAGATCCTGAGCCTTTCCCTCTGCTGCAGACAAACCTTTTCCTTGGGAATTTCGCACCTGCTCATGGCGCACCCGCTGCAGACACGGACACGTCTGTGTGCTTCTCGTCTGCTCCCCAGGGCTGTGTGCGCCCTATGCAGTATTTTCGCATCAACAATTTCACTTTTTGGGGGATTCCCATACGTGCTTTGGTGCCCTCCTTGCACCACGGTTTGTTAAGCGTAGTGACATTTCATAGTGTTTTTTCCCTTAATCTCCCTGCTGCTACGTGAAGCTGCTGCTTCTGTGGCCTGGAGGCCCTCCAGCCAGGCAGAAAACAGGCACCGAGGAGCACGGGTGCACATTATACACACCCATAAACACCTGCATGTGCTATATGTGTCTGTGAGCGTATGTTGAGTTCTGCTTTGTCACCTCCTTCTGGACAGGAATCTGGGCTAAGGCAGACCCTGGATTGGATTCATAGCTCCTTGTTCCAGAAATCCTGCTGTACTTCACAGGGGCAAAAGCTGTGTTTATTTGTTCCTCTTTTATCAATCTCAGCTGTACATGATTAAATAAGGTGTATTTTGTAAAGTGTGATAAAGGTGCCTAATCTGATTCCCTTTTCTATGCTCACTTCCTATTTTCAAAGACCTTTCTCTCATTTTTATTAGCTGCTTCCTATCCCTCACTCTTCTGGAACTTGTGTGTCATCCTGACCAGATGTTTGCTACAGATAACTGAAATTTAACTTTTTTTTTCCCCCCTCTCAATTTTTGTGGTGAAAATACAAAATCAGGAGACCACCGCAGTTGATCCTTAGTCACTGAATCCACAGATAACTGAAATTTAACTTTTTTTTCCTCCTCTCAATTTTTGTGGTGAGAATACAAACTCGGGAGGCCACCGCAGTTGATCCTTAATCACTGAATCTTGAATTTATTTCAGTTTCACAGTTATCGAGGCGTTGGAGGATGGACTCAAGAGAGCAACTGCAGATCCTTCAGTCAAAGCTGTTGTGATCTGTGGTGAAAATGGGAAATTCAGTGCAGGTAAGATATTTTTCTTCAAACAAACACAGATGTTCTCTAGTTTTTGATACCTGTGATGGGTCTGTAGAGCTCATCATTGCTTGCTCCTAATAACTTAAGCTTAGTTCCTCCAGACTCAGCGTTGTTGGGGTTTTTTGTTTGTTTTGCTTATTTTAGCAAGCATCTCTCTGATAACTGCTGCAGAAACAACATGATATGGACAGGTGTAACATTTTCCTACTTATCCTTCCCCTGGACTGTCTGAAAAGGCTCAAGGAGCCAGGGTTTCCTGCAGCAGCTTCCAGAAAAGTTGATTCCTGTTAACTCCGCTCTTCAGGGACTCACCATCTGTGAGCACGGATGTTTAATGGCAGAGAGCAACGGATCCTCCTGCTCTCCGCCTCCCCCAGCTCCTCCTCATCCCCGTGTTTCTTTGTGCTTCCTCAGGAGTTGACATCCACACGTTTTCCTCTGCGGAGGAGACGCGGCGTGCGGGCCTGCCTGCCTTCATCTCCGTCATAGAAAGCACCGAGAAGCCCGTGGTGGCTGCCATCGAAGGCATTGCCTTGGGTGGAGGCCTGGAAGTGACACTTGGCTGCCACTACCGCGTGGCACACGTGCAGGTAACGCGCGTGGGGAGCGCAGGGCTGTGGACAGGGGGGGAGGCTCCGGCAGGGCCGCGGGGCAGGGAGCCCTGGGGACTCCGGCACAAGAGCGTTCATTTTCTTACAGAGCTCATTGCAGTTCCTTTCTAAATACGAATTGATTTGTAACGAGTAGGGTGAAATGGCTGCACTGGCGACTCAGTAAGCCAGTCGAAGCATTAATTTGCCCCAGTCTACAGTAAACTAGCCAATATCTCAATTTAGAGATAGACAGTAGCATCCAGAGCTGTGCCCATCTCACTGCCTCACACAGTCTGCCCTGCTCTTGTGCACTTTGCTTCCCAGCCTTGGGAATTTTGTATTCCGTTCAGCTAGTGGCCTAGTTTCAGCAGGTGGTTGACGCTCAGTTTGCTTTTTGACCACTTGCTTTTTGATTCCTCTTGGGCTCAGGGCCCTCAGGGAACACTCTAACCAACAGACAGCTTGTAAAGAAGTGTTCAGAAGAATGATCCAGTGTTTCTTGAGCTCCCTCCCTTGGGATTCAGGAACGATGAACTGCCTGTCAGCAGCACCCGGTCTCCTTACAGAGCCTCATCGCTGACAGGGGCATCCCCACAGCTTTGCTGCCTCCCCCTCCATGCCCGCGCGGTTGCCAGAACCCTGCAGCGAGGCAGCGCACGTCACCCTCTGAGCCACCTCCGGGGGATGCCTGACATGGCAGTCTTGAAATGACTCCAGATCTCTTAAGAACTCCATGAAAAATCTGCAAATTGTATTTTTCAAGCAGCAACAAAATCTAGATCTTTAAGAGAATGCAAGATACAGCTTTGCCCCTTTCTTGCTGCACTGGCTTCTCTACCGAAGGTGAAAAGTACCAAAGCATTTGAGTGCTTTCAAAGGAAAGAAAGTGGAAAGTTCAGTAGGGAAGTAGTACCAATCTTCCCTTCACTAAATTTCCAAGAATTAGGGTAGGGAGATAACACGTAGGTCACACAGTGCCCTAGAGCAACTGGTGACAACCGCCTGACTTGTCAAGCTGGGCGGCTGGAAGCGTGAGCTCGCACACAGGGTCATTGCCCGGAGGGTGCTGCGGGCCCTGGAGTCCCGCCAGCGCTGAGCCAGCAACGGTGACGTTGCCTCCTCAGCACTGAGCCAGCAACGGCGACATTGCCTCCTCTGCCCTCGTAGACAAGTTCCTGAGAAGGCTGAGGGGCCTTTTGGATGGGTTACAGAAAGCAAGGATGGGCTTTCTGCACAGACCAAGGCTTTAGAAGCTTCCTAGAGGAGCAGCATGTGAACGAGGCCAGCTTCGCTTTCCTCTGCTGAGTTCATAATTATCCTTCTTGCTAATCAGACCTATTGCTGAATTTGGCTTCACTTTAGGCACGGCTGGGGCTACCAGAGGTCACCCTGGGGCTCCTTCCAGCTGCTCAAGGCAGTCAGCGCCTGCCCCGACTGATTGGCTTACCAGCAGCTCTGGATATGATCACAACAGGTAAGTACTGCACCTCAGCCTGGCTCTGAATACAAGGATCTGGCACGGAGCCATTCCACAAGTTTGGGCTAATGAAGAAAGAGGGGATTTTGTTTGTTTGCTTGTTTAAAAAAAAAAAAAAAAAAAACACATGAAGCTGCTCAAGTTGAATTTCAGCTTGTCTTCTCTCCTGATGGGCTTGGAAAGGGGCATGCTCGTGTACTTCTGAAGCACAGAGTTAGTGATGCATTTCGTGTGTGCGATGAGCACCACGCGCATTTGAAGCCCATTACGCAGCCATTTGATCAAATGGAAAAGAGTGAAGTTACCTGCTGTGCCTCTCCAAAGTCACTTTATTTTTTTGTCACAGGGAAACATATTCCAGCAGCAGAGGCACTGAAGCTGGGCCTGGTTGATGAAGTTGTGGAAGGAGACACAGTGGAGGCAGCAATTCGCTTGGCAAACAAAGTGATCGGTGAGGAACAAGTTGTAGCAATGTGAAGAAACCATCAGGGAGGTTTCAGGGCAGAAGCAGAGCCAGAACAAAGCACCCTAGTTTGTTCTATTCCCTATGCTCCCTTCTCCATCTAGGGCAATTGCCCCAACAAAGATGTTCCCTTTGATAGACCCTCTGGACTCCTGAATGATGCCTGTTGCAATATACCAATATCAATGGCAGAAACAGTGCATCATAAAGTGATTAGCAGATGCACTGCTAGAACTGGGAAGCATTTGGGCTTCTAGCAAATGCTATGCAACACTGGGCAAAATTTATAGACATTTGTGGACTTATTTCTTCTGAGACAGGCATTGTGTGAAGGTTGAGAGCTGTGAAAAGCAGCTTAACCTTTGAGGAGAAGCTCGAGGGGAATGAAATGCTCAGGACACCTCAAAGTACACGTCCACTGCTATATACCTGCTGTTTAGCTTCATCCTGACTGAAAATTTTCACTACCAGGAAAAAAAAATAGTTCTTTCAAGAACAGGATCAAGAGTCTGCTGGACATCCAGCCAAGACCCTTGTTTGCTTGTCTCTTCTGGGCTTGCTCATTATTTTTTATAGCCTATTAGTTTATTGCTGTTTTACGCTATTGCAGTGACAAATTCCAGTGTGACTGAGGGTGTTACCTGTCACACTAGACACTGGTTTGGTCAGAGCCTTAAAAAGCTGCTTCCAGACCCTTTCAAACAACTTCACTGACATGCTTTGACAGCAAAATCCCTGGAAAAGAGTCAGCTAAGCTGATTTCCCTCCTTCTTTGAAAATACATCATTGAACCTCAGTGAAGAACATGTGAAGGTTTGATGCACTATTTAGGTGCAGATTACCTGATCAATTTGAAAGAATGGAGTGGGGATGACCCAGCACTTGGATTATCTCTGTCTTTGGCTCTTACCCAAACTTAAGACAATTCTCCTGCCATATAAAAGCAGCACTTTCAGTTGTCTATCTAAAGCACAAATATACAGGACCACAGAAAAGATGCAACAAACCCATGTAACTGCTCTCTTGTTCTTGTGCAAGCTCAGATTTCAGTGAACATTTTTCAGATGATCTTAGAAATAGATAGTTGCACAAAAAACAACCAAACAATACACCTGCCATCTCAGAAGTTCCCTCTCTTTGTAAAGCATCCAGTATTTGGTTTCCAGTAAGATTTTTACATGAGCCTTGCAACTGTTGGCTTCTTGCAGACCAGTTTGGCTAACTAACTAGTTTTACCACCGATTAAATTTGTATCTTGGGTCAGGAAAAGGTTGTGCTGGCAGAGCAGTCTCTGATCAGAATCAATTCAGAAATCATCTTCTACAGCTTTCTCAGCACTAGAGCTGCAGTGTCTTAAGACAAGAGCCCAGTCTGAGAGGATTGGCCTTACAGAAGGCTTCCTTCATTGAGTCAACGTGCAGTTAACAGAGCTACCTGCAGGGCAGCTAGGTTGGGAAAGCATCTCCATCCACACAAATTCCTTCTGAAGGACACCTCCCCAGACAGCTGAGTACCCAGAAGGAAGCATTGAGTCCAAGGGCATTTTTTTGCAGTAAAAATAGGAACTATATAGTGCAGATTAGCCAGTGAGCATATTTTCTTCAGACAAATTTGTCTCTTCTGGGAAGAAAACAAAACAAAAAAAACCCCTGCACTTTTCAGAAGGGAGGAACAGGCAGGAGCTAAATCTGTGGAGACAAGGAGGGTGTTCTTCCATTAACTGTTACTGATAATCACTGCACTAACTCAAAGCTGCGTTTCATAATTTGTCCACCCGATGGCATCACTAAATTGCAAAATTGCTGTGATTGCTCCCGGCAGGCTGGAGAGCAGCAGGCGAGCGGATGCTCCTTGCAGCAGGGTCGCCCCTTCCATAACCCTCCCTTGCTTTCTCACCACACCTGGTGGTTGATCTTTGACAATCAGTCTGTTCTCAGCATGAAAGCAGTGATGGGCTGCACCAAAGAGCCAAGCAAAATTAGTCTGATTGGGGTTAGTTTGGACCCTGTCAGTATTGAGTTCTGTATGGGAGGATGTTTATGAGCTTCTGGCTGTCGTTCACTAGCAGTAACTGTGGAGAAAGGATGCGCTTCTTCCATGTGGGAAACCCACAGGAATTGCAGATACTGCTGCTAACAGCACGTGCTGACTTTTAAGTAGAGGATGCTGGAGGAGCAGACGCAAGTAAAACAACGCAGATGCCTCTGCCAGCTCCTGGGGATGCACGATGCTCTTGCCCTGCAGCACCAACAACTGATGCTGTTCATCTGCTGGCCTGTGATTGCACACATCAAGCTCTAGGAAGTCTGCACTGACCCCTTCAGGTCTGGATTATTTTTCCTCCTACTTATAAATACACTCCTGGCTCTTCGTGCTGTCGCAGCAGCAAAGGAGCCATGATTTAAGGTGCTACAGAAATACTTGCAAAGGCTAACAGATGAATAAGAGTTTCATAGTAGGACTTGGAGAATTAGTTCCTCACAAAATGATAAATAAAAGTAGCTCCCCCCTCAGGATTTGCACTTATAAGTGCTATTTGCTATCTGAAGACTATGCTTAAAGGCTCCCAGTAGCATTCCCCTCTACAGACCCTTTCCGCATCATTAGAAATGTCACATGAAGTCTCCTGATCTGCCCCAACAGTCTTGCACAGCCTTCAGATCTGCTTTACGGGACAAACCTCAAGTTCTCTCTTTTGATGAAAGAAACCCGCTGCACAAGGCCAAAACTAAGGACAGCAGAGAAAGAGCATTTTCAGATAGAAAACATACATTTGGCAGAGGAAGGAAGGACTCAAGAAAATAAAGGGCATTATCCCAACTAAAATCCTACAGTAATAGTAGCTTTAGAAACCATGTTCACCATCACTGTGAAACTATTGCTGTGATATACTCAGTTTAGAAGGAAAGCTGTCTACAGAACGAGTGCTTGTCTTTTTTGGCATGTGTGTGCCATGTTCTCCAAGAGGCCAGAGTAAACAGCTCGAACTCCCAAGACCATTGCTGCAGGAGATCTGTATCTTTCCTCATCCTGGAAGCTCCCGTGTTACCTTGCTCTGTCTGAGGGGCAGACGCCGGAGTCAGGACAGGGTCCTCGTGCAGCTTGACGGGGGTGCTGGCCGCTTCCCTGCTCTCCAGCACCCCACGTACGCCAGGGCACCACACGTCCTGCTCCTGAGCTGCTTTCCACCTGGCGCTGGCCATTTCCGAGCTCAGATGATAGCAAGGGAAGGGAGAACTAGGCGCAAGATGCCACCTCTGAATAAAACATGGTCATAAGGCAGAGCTGACCATGGAAGTTGGCTAACGAGGCTACATTCCCAGGCACTTCTCGGAGCAGCAGACAGGGAGGCCCCCTTGGAGCAGGGTTGTGGCACCACTTGGCTGTGCTGAAGGAGTCACTGCAGTGGCTTCTGGTGCCGCTCCTGGTTAATTAGTGCTCTGGATGTTGCTTCAACCAGAGAGGGTTCTGTGGGAAAAATCTTTAGGAAAATATCTTGAATTCCTCATCTTGTTCCTCAGTGGCCTTTACCAAAGCAAGCTGCCTTTAGGAGCACATAGACTGTCTGCATATAGACAGGTCACAGATCTCCCTGGGGGCACCGAGGTTTGTACCGCTGAAGGGCAGGGGAAGGATTGGGATGTCTGAGATGTAACCAACTTCTCTCAATTAAAATCCTTTTTAGGTATCACCATAGCAACCCAGGGCTGTAATGAGCCTCATGTATTGGTGCGGTGGCTTGATGCACCTCTTGCTGACACAAAAGCTTGAACTCTTCCTTGTTATTCGCTTGCTCCCTAGCCCATGCTGCGTGAGCTGTCCCCACGGGCGCTCCCAGGGGGACTAGAGGACTCCTGCTGGCAGGGAGGGACTGAAGCCACGCTGCATTTCCCAGGCTTTCTCATAAACACCTGGCTCGGGGCCTCGGCTACAGCATTTCTGGCTAGCAAAGGGGATTAGGCACCAGGTAGGAGCGAGGCTTGCAGGAGGAGCATTCCTGTAGCAAGGCATGAAAATCTGTGGTGCTCTGGGAAACAAGGACGTTGGGCTGTTCAGTAACTCTCCTGTCTCCCCCAGGCCAGCCGCTGGCGCCGCGCCGGCTCAGCCTGAGGACGGTGCCGAGTCTGCCCAACGCGGACGCCGTTTTCAGCCAGGCTCTCGCGAGGGTGAAGAAGCAGGCCCCCGGCTACATGGCTCCGGAGTTCTGCATCCGGGCCGTCCGAGCGGCAATGGAGCTGCCCTTCGCAGAGGGGCTCCTCAAGGAGCGGGAGCTCTTCACCGTGCTGCTGACGTCGGGCCAGGCCCGCGCGCTGCAGTACGCGTTCTTCGCCGAGAGAGCCGTGGACAAGTGGACGACGCCCTGGGGCACCTCCTGGAAGAGCGCGTCGCCTCAGCCCATCCGGCGGGCAGCCGTGCTAGGTAAGGGAACGGGGGCTCCCGAGCGGGCACAGCCAATGGCACCCTGACCATCACGGGCAAAGACACTCCAGGCACATAAGTGACGCTGGAAAAAGCCGTCAGCACTAATGGCCATCACCTATAGGTGATCTCATCAGGAGAGTCACATCCTGCTAGATCATGATCCCACCTACCTTCCTCTCACTTCAGCTGCCTGATCCGTTTTGGATAGGGCTGCCAGGAATCCTGGCGTTGTTCCACACCGTAGGCAGGTTTGCAGGGAGTTCTCCTCTGCCTGGTCTAACTCTGCACTGCAAGCGCTTGTGCAAAGAAGCGCTCGGGGATGTATTAATACGAAAATGTTTTGACAGCTGTATTTTAAGAAGACTTCATCTCGCTGGGATCCACTCTTGCCATTTTGTAGCCCAGCAAGATAATGCCTTCATTAATTTTTTATAAGAACAATTTAAATAAAATCCTTTGATGCACTGCTGAGATTAAAAAAAAAAAATCTCTCTCTCAGCTCTGCCTGTTGATAGTAGCACTCAAAATGGTTAGACAAGTAATGGAGCATTTAAACATCCATCCTGTTTCAGGGGAAACTCGCTAGATCGATACTGCTCTTCCCCAGCTACTTCTCAGGTCTCAGTCTTGTGCTCTGCCGTGTGAGCTCCCCACGAGCTCATTACAGGCCACAGAAACACTTGAAGTGTCCTTTTCATTAGCTTCAGCAGGTTAACCTATGTCATATTTTTAATGAAAATGTTTCTTTGAACGTTGGTCCACCAACCCTGTAAAGAAGGTGTGGATGCTACAGCATTCTGGTTAAAAAACAAGGATTCTTGTTATTTTTTTTTCCTGCGACTTGCAGGGCACAGGATTTTGGACATGTGCAAGCACACACAGTTCAGCTCTGCAGTAGAGTTATTGGCACTGAAGATTTGTGGGACTAACTGGATGGCAAGAAACAGTGGTCAAAAGGGCCATTCTTTGCTATTTGATGATTCATCATTCTAGAATAACACACTTGTAAAACTGCAACCGGATAGAAAAAGAGAAAAAAAAAAAACAGCTAGAAGAGCTGGTTTGAGGTGGCTTGCTTATTTTGGTGCCGTGGCTGAACTAAGGCAGGTAGTAAGGACAAATCCAGGCTGCTTGGAGAGTTCCAGTAGAGCTACATTTCAGGGCTTGTTTCTGGACTGAGCTAGTTGGGTGTCAGGCAGCTTCCTGAGCTCTGCTCACAAGTTATGCCCTAACTGACAGCCCACAGTTCCCAATCCTCATGTAGCTGGTTACACACACAGTTCAGAATAACCCACAGCCTTTTGCAGAATAAAGGAGGCTTTAAGTGCTTTGATACTCACACTGTCAAGCAGAATCTGTAGCAAGGATCTTTTTCACAGCTCTCTGAACCTCCACTAGGTTTTCCATACTTCATAAGGCCTGCAAACCAGGAACAGCAGCAATATGCTAGAAGGAGCTACACCAGGAAGAGGCACCCAGAGTTTCTTTCTTGCTCCTGCTCAGTACCCCCCAGTAACATCACGTTTGCCCCGTTTGCTGCACCCTGATGCTTACCCAGTATCAGGGAGCAGCACAGGCAGCTGCTCTCCAAGGGACAGAAAGCCAGAACACAAGGGTAATACCAACCTACTGTGATGAGGAGGCAGGTTAGACATCAAGCTGGGCCATCAGTCCATGTGTTAGGATCAACAGGAGGGCAGGAACAGGCGTAAAGACCAGCCCTCTTCCCATCCACGCTGAGCTTAAAGGGGCGTTTGGGCCCACGAGCAGGGTGTGGGTGGAGGCCCCAGCTTGGGCTGGTTAGGGCCATCAAGGCTTATCAGGGCACAGGGGTCCTGATGTCTTAATTTCTTTTCTGCTTCTAGCAACACAGTAAAATATCCGTCCGTCCCCCTGGGGGTGTCTTCAGCTATGCACACAGTCACCGAGTCCATTTCCTTCTGCTTGTTCTTCCTGTCTTTTTTTCCCCCTTTCCCTGCTTCCTGGTCACCCAGAGAGTTCCTCTCTGCTGTTGCTGCTGCAGTCTTTCCACGGTGCCCTGCCTGCCTTCTATATGGCATTATTTCTGAGGGAAATTAATCCTCTGAAATAGAGAGAGAAGCAGCTGCAATTTGCAGCAGTCTACTACCTTGTCATTTTTAACAGGGAACTGGAATAGTCTTTGCATATCTTTACCAAGCTATAAAGTATTATTTCCATTACTGGCTTTTTTAAGTCCAAATATTCACTACAGTGCAGTACATTTTCTGCAGATTGGTGTTCCTCTAGTACGTGTGACCATAGATGAGCTGTTCAATACATATTTTGAACCTTGTATTTTAAAAATCTTAAATTAATTTTGCATGTTTTTTTCATATTCTAAATACTTCATGTGACAGATCAATAATTAACAATCGTTATTCACTCAGCTTGCCCAGCAAAAGGGTTTATCATATGCATGTTTGGCCTGAAATTAATTGGGTTCAAGAGTAATTTTATTTATATGCCGAGTTACATTTCCCAAAAAGGCCAGAAGGAGGATGGGCTGCTGCTCTGTTCTTGTGGCTGAGCAGACTTCAGGCTTCTGTTGCAAGCTCTGCCTTCGGCGTGAAAGCTGCTCACGCTGCTCTGAAAGCCCTGAACGGAAGGCAGGAACGTAGAGGGGTGATTTCAGTGTGGTGATTTGGGGGAACGGAGAGAACGGGCCTGAATTCCTTAGCGGGACGGCACTGAGGAAGAAAACTGAGCGCACAGGAGAAATCAGAGCAACAGGAATAGTTCCTGGCCGGGTTTTAGTCTGGACTCCTCGTCTCCTTCCTCTCCAGCCTTTGGCGTTTGCGAGGCCCCAAGATTCCCTACCGTTTTTTCTACTCCGGCGCGTTCCTCCCCGAGATCTCTAGCTCTGTAAAGCCGAAGGGGCAGGTCCTCAGAAATGCTTCTTTCCCTGCTAAAGAACTCCCGTCTCTTTATACTCCTGGCTTTTTATAGGCCAATTTTAGAAAATATTTCCGGGGGTGTTGTACTGTGCAAGCTCTAATGCAATAAAGCCCTTGGGGCTTTCATTACTCTCTCTGCCAGCTTCATTAAACATCATTCCATACAGGCCACTGAAGAGTTATGTAGTAAGTTGAGAGACAGATTTTCTAGGTCAAAAGCAAGCTTGGCAAGCTCATATCTTATCTATAAGCCCATTCCTGTGGCCTAAAAGATGAAATATTGCAAGTATGGAGGCCTGTCTGCTATGGAGTGGCCAAAAGCCTAGCTGAGAGACTCATCCTACATGTCGGGGAAAGCAAAGAGTTGAATGGGCCAAAGCCACAGATCCTCCTTGACAGGAAAGTCGGAAAGTCTCAGCTCATGGAAGGGCTTTTGCTGCAGGAGGAAGCAGCTTGTTTGCAGTGAGAGGGAACTGCAAAGGTTTCACTCACGAGACCAAAGCTGAGAGGAACCGGAGTGATTAAAGCCCATGGCACAGGAGCTATTTCTGTAGCAGCTCTTGGAAACTCCAGGGAGAAAGCCCAGGTCTCTGTGCTGGAAACAGAGGATACAAGAGGGAGCCACAAAGACGCGGGCTGCGGTGCCGCAAAGGCACCGATCCCGCACCGCGGCCTCTGGAGGGAGCCTCAACGCTGGGCTGAGCGTGCCGGGCTCCGCGCGGTGCCGCTACCGGGAAGACGGCAGCCCTTGGAGCCCTCCAAACCGGGGCGAGACCCGGCACCTGCCTCCCAGCCAGGCCGCCGAGCGTGTGCAGAGGGACAGGAGCTGCTTGTGTCTGTGGCAGGAGGTTTCTTTTATAGTTAACGAACTGTGGGCAACAAAATACTAAGAACAGATTGATTTTTTTTCAGCTTTATTTTCAAATTAATTGTTTGTAGTATTTGATTACAAAATATCAGATCTAATTTCCTAGAGAGGAACTTTAGCGTTTGCTTGAGAGGGAAATGTTGCTTCTGAGCAACTGGCCAGCTAGTGATGTCCCCAGAAGCGATGTCCTTGCAGCCAAGCAGGGCATGGTGGTTGGACTAGATGATCTCCAGAGGTCCCTTCCAACCTTAACGATTCTATGTTTTAAATGCCTCGTGTGTACACAAAACCTTAACGATTCTATGATTCTATGTTTTAAATGCCTTGTGTGTACACAGGCTGTAGGGGCACAACTGAAGCAAGAGCATGTTGCTTGCAGGAAAAATGTACTACCTTGGTTGACCTGGGTTGTTGGGACTTGTTTAACTGATGATATAATTTCAGCCCTCCCTCATAAAGCTGCTTTCAGCAAATGTTTTAATCCCCTTGTTTCTGTTTATTTAGCTATTGACCTTTGTAAACCTGGGATTAAAAAAAAATCAGAATCATTTTTATAGAATTATAACAAACCTGAGCTTTGTCTAGCTGTTGCCTTATTCGGGATATTCATAATCCTGACGTTCAGATGCCGCATCAGCCTCTTGGGAAGGCCCTGCACTCTTGAACTGGTGCTGAAATTGGGCTGGTTTTGGGCTCTTACTGGTTTGTAATTGCTTAGCCCAAAAACCCTCGGTCAGGGGTGAGCAGGATCGTGTGGCAGGATAGACTTTTGTTTTTTTTTTTTCCTGTGTACCTCTCATTTTGCATAAACATCAGCCTTTTATCCTGGAGATGCCAAGAGAAGTGCTCTTACTGAGTGATTAATGGTAACAACTTGTGTCCACAGCCTCTGATTCTGTCTCTCTTCCCCCTAGGGCTGGGAACGATGGGCCAAGGCATCGTCATTTCTCTGGCCAGGGCCAACATTCCGGTGGTGGCGCTGGAGCAGGATCAGGAGCATCTGGACAAGGGCAGAAAAGCAGTGGTGGCCGTTTTGGAACGCGAGGCTTCAAAAATGAAGAAGGGCACCCGCGCCCCGGACTTCCATGACCCCGCGCGTCTCCAGTTCACTCTGGATTTCAAGGCATTGCGGGATGTAGATCTCGTTATTGAGGCTGTGTTTGAGAACATGGCTCTGAAGAAGGAAATATTCCGCAAGCTCTCTGAGATCTGCAAGCCGAGCGCCTTCCTGTGCTCCAACACGTCAGCCCTGAGCATTGATGAGATAGCTTCCGCCACGCGCCGCCCCGAGCAGGTCATCGGCACGCACTTCTTCGCCCCTGCTCACATCATGAGGCTGCTAGAAATCATCTACGGGCGCCAGACGTCCCCCACCACCATTGCCACCGCTGTGCGGCTCGCAAAAACACTGAAGAAAGTTGGAGTGGTGGTAGGGAATTGCCATGGGTTTGTCGGGAACCGAATGATGTTTCCTTACGGGGAACAGGCAGTGTTCCTTTTAGAGGAAGGAAGTACACCAGAAGCCGTAGATAAGGTTATTGAAGATTTTGGGTTCAAGGTCGGACCTTTCCGAATGTCTGACCTCTCAGGGCTGGATGTGGGCTGGAGCTCCCGCAAGGAGCAGGGTCTCACTGGAGCCTCAGTGCCTCCAGGAACGCCTGCCCGCCAGCGGGGCGGCCGTCGCTACAGCCCCCTGCCCGACATCCTGTGCGAGAAGGGCAGGTTCGGCCAGAAGACCGGCCAGGGCTGGTATCAGTATGAGAAGGCGGGGGGCAGGACACCTAAGCCTGACCCGTGGTTTCACAACTTCCTGGCTGAGTACAGGGCCACCCACCACATCAAGACCCGCTTCATAGACCAGGAGGAAATCCTGGAGCGTTGTCTGTTTCCCCTCATCAATGAGGGCTTTAAAATCCTGGGGGAGGGAATAGCTTCGGGCCCGGAGCACATTGATGTGATTTATCTCAATGGCTACGGGTGGCCAAGGCACGTGGGTGGCCCCATGTTGTACGCCTCTACCGTTGGGCTGCCTCGCCTCCTGGAAAAGCTCCAGAAATACTCGGAGGCTCACCCGGATGTTCCCAGCCTGCAGCCCAGCGCCTTCCTGAGGAAGCTGGTCGCTGTGGGGAACCCTCCCCTCAAGGAGTGGATGTCTTACGCGGGCCAGCAGAGAAACAAGCTGTGATTTCGAGGACGGCCCTGCTATAAATTCAATGGCCGCTGATCTCATGAAGCAGGTGCTGTAATTGCACTGTCTTTTCCAATCAACGCCAAAGGGCTGCAGGCTCCTGAGCAATATTCCTGGGCCTTTGGGGAGAAGAATAGCTGTAGTCAGTGATTGCTCTCACCCTCCGTAACCACGGCCATCGCCGTTCTTCCTCCTCACCCCCAGCCGTCGCCGACCCGCTCCGCACGCTGCTGGGCGCAGGCCCAGCTCCCCCTGCTCGGCCTTTGAGTCTCCACAGCTGCGCGTCTGTCCCAGCCCTTCCCTTTGCCAGGGAAGGGAGCAGCACCCAGCGCCCGCAGAGCAAATCACGATGTGAGGCAGGAGAGACAGGCGGTCACCACTCTCCTTGGATGGGCTGGATCCGACGGAGCCTGGCCTGGGTCTGCTTGTGAGCGATTTGACACCTCCCCAGCAGGGATTCCCCGGCTCTCCGAACGCAGTGAAGCCGGGCGAGGAGAGCGCTGCTGCGGACAGGCAGCAAAGGGGCAGGGCACAAATAGGGGCACAAACGCAGTTAAGGCCAGAGGAGCACACGGAGGCGCGGGCGGCGGCGCGGGCGGCCGGGGAGGCAGGGAGCGGGGCCTGCAGGCCGGCCTGGGGGAATCGATGGCTCTGCGCTCCCTTCTCGGAGATAAACGCTGGATGACTAACGTGCTTTTTACTTTAATAAAACTCTTCTGATTATCTAATGCCAGATTATGTGGTATCATTGGAGAGGGTGGAAAATGAGAATGTCCTTGTTCTTCCTTCAGAGATATCTCTATCGCTTTGCCGCCTGACAGAAGAGATAATTCCCCTCTTTGGGGAGGTGCCCGTATTTGAAGTGGCTGCGTGTTTGGTGTTGTTCTAAATGTAGCTTCTTTTGACCTTTATCTGCCCCTTTTTCTGTCCCCTTCAAGGGCCTCGAGCACAGAATCACCTTGCAGAAGACAGGAGGCAACCGCAAGGGGCAGGTCCCAGCAAGGTGGTTCTGCAGGAGGTGGTTCTGGCTCTGGCACACCGGGTTCCCATGAGCCCCATGGCCCAGGGCAGCGTCGGTGCTGCATGATGCGTCACTCAGGAGCGCGGGCTCTGCCGCTGCTCCCGCTTGTGCTCCAGGCTGGCAGTCCTGCTGGGACCGGTGCCTCGCGCGGCCGTGTTCGCCCTCCCCGGCGGAGATTTGGGAAGGGGTGGCCGAGGGGAAGCCGTCTCCTTCCTTCAGCGGAGCGGTGGCGGCCCCGCGACCCC